CGTACGCATTGTAATTTCAATTTGCCCTGATGATGGACAAGTTGTCCGAAAGCTCGGAAAATTAAAGCTAACGTAGAAGAAACAAAACTGAGTATTTAAATAATGAATCCTACGTACCAAAACATTTATTGACACAATGAGAAAAGTTTGTTTTTATATGTTCTCATTTCAAATTTTTTCTTGGTTTGGAGGATGTACGGTCTCATGGTATATTAACGTATAATCAAAATGAAGTTAGTCTTAGATTCACAGTCAAGCAGTTTTCTTTTATCACGCGTAAATCCCATTTTTTTCGTGTTAAAAAATGCATAAATAATTAATGAGTTATTAGGCCAATAGAATAAGCATATTTGGTCACATGCCTGGACCTTTATTTCTGATCAAACACTGACGACCTTCTAATGACCTTTCATTCTCTTCCCCAGAGCCCCTTGGTCGGTCGTTTCTCTCCCTTCGTTAGCTTTGGTGCCAGCCGTTTGAGGCTCGATGCTGATTGGTTCGGAACTCGAGCATATCACAATGTAATGGGATTTACGCGATTACAAAATAAAACTGCTTGACCCCTCCGGAAACGAATATCATTGTCAAGCAATGTGAAGCAAAGGGTGCGAATCTAAGGCTAACATTTTGGTCTCCGTATAAAACTCATTTATGATTGGATCATGATTTTGATTACTTAAACCTGGGTCAAATATCTCCCATGCAGTGAATTCAATGTAAATAGACGGTTACGCCATCATTTTTCACTACATCTCTGAGAAAAACATTTACACTATCAACTAGGTACAAACTAGCCTACAAAACACTAGAAGCGTGAAATAGAAATACAGTGCAAAAACCATTAAATACTTAAGTAATTTTAATTTAGTAATTTTAAAAACAGTGCTATTAATAGCGCCTTGTGTTCTATTGTCTGATCTTTAAGTGTTTGTACTCTAATGACCTCCGAGGCTTATTGAAAAAAATTACCGAGAGCGCAGCGCGAGGAGCGCCAAGGAGCGAGGCCATTATCCCATTTAATATATACTCTCATTGTTTTCGAAGAAACAAAACCGTGCCTTTCAAAACTGTGTTGTTCGTGTTTTACAAGCAGGCTAAATAATGGTTTTAGTTTTGAGCGGTTTTCTAAAAACCATTACCATTAAAACTTTTACATACAATCAGAAAACTATAAATAGCGGAAATCTTATTGGTTTCAAGTAAGTATAACAATCTCCACGCTTTATACTTCAAGTTACATGCTGCAATTTAATTCCATTGTATCGGAAAACACCATTGAAACGCTTGTGAGTTTTTACATATTCACGATGCTGGGACTATAAAAGAGAATATTGACTTTTCACATGTGAATTTTATTGAGTTCACTTAACGAAGAACTTTGTTGAGATGGAGATGTTTGAAGAGTGCTGTCCGGGCGAAATGTCATTTGACAATGATGACGATAGCTGTCGACCTATCGCAGAGGGTGCACAGTTTTGAGAAGAAAAGTCTTCTTCGAAGGTAATTTCACCGATTCTGTTGATTATTTCATGTGACGCTATTGTCTTGACTTTGAACTGCTGTTTTTAACTAAATGAATGACTTTTTTATCTATTGAAGACAAGAAAGTCGAGGAGCCTCAGACAGCGACGTCGCTCAATAATGCAAGAGAGGAATTTAGTAGAACTAGCAGAGGCGTCGATTCCAATCAATACAAAGAGTAAAGCAATGTGGGCGGCTTCCCGTTTATACCCAAAGTTGTGCAATTTGGCGAAAGAGCTCGCCTATAGATGT